GGAGGGGATAGGTGGGAGGAAGAACAGGTTAGGGAGGCAGGGACGAGTTGGACTGGTTTTGGGATGCGGTGGGGGGAGGGGAGATTTTGAAACTTGTGAAATCCACATTGATACCATTGGGCTGCAGGGTTCCCAAGCGGAATATGAGTTGCTGTTCCTGCAACCTTCGGGTGGCATCGTTGTGGCACTGCAGGAGGCCCAGGATGGACATGTCGTCTGAGGAATGGGAGGGGGAGTTGAAATGGTTCGCGACTGGGAGGTGCAGTTGTTTGTTGCGAACCGAGCGTAGGTGTTCTGCAAAGCGGTCCCCGAGTCTCCGCTGGGTTTCCCCGATGTAGAGGAAGCCACACCGGGTACAGCGGATGCAGTATACCACATTGGCAGATGTGCAGGTGAACATCTGCTTGATGTGGAAAGTCTTCTTGGGGCCTGGGATGGGGATGAGGGAGGAGGTATGGGGGCAGGTGTAGCACTTCCTGCGGTTGCAGGGAAAAGTGCCGGGTGTGGTGGAGCTGGAGGGGAGTGTGGAGCGGACAAGGGAGTCACGGAGAGAGTTGTCCCTCCGGAAAGCAGATAAGGGTGGGGAGGGAAAGATGTCTTTGGTGGTGGGGATTCTGCTCCTATGATGCTGCTTGTTCTACATGTAAACCTGTTTCACCTTTGGATGTAAGAACATTTACACTACTATTCAAACCTTAACAAATACCCATCCAAGGGAAAGACTGGACATTCCAAACTATCGAAACTATTCACCTTAATCAAAAAGCCATTCACACCTACTCTAGTGATCAGGAGCTCATTCAGCCCCGAGAGGAGGAACACTAGCTCGGCAGCCGAAACCTGATTTGGTGGGAGATAAGGGGGCTTGGAGTTGGGTATAGCTGGAGACCCCGAGCCCAGCACTGTGCACTTCGAAACCAGCAATGCGCCCCATTTCCAACCAGGTGTGTGTTCTGAGGTGGGCACTGTGCACTCCTAGTGTGAGCGGTTCGCGAGCAGCAGGCCCTGCATGTGAAGGGCCTTGAGCGAAAGCCACGAGGAAGGGAAAGGAAATCAGTCCGACTTACCAACTCAGAGAAAAGTTCCCGTAGAAGCTGCGAACCCTCCACACCAAGTGCAATCCTCGCAACCAATGAACACCATCAACCAACTACGAACCTCCACTCGATGGTTGGAGGCGACCGAAAGCATCCAGACACAAGACACCGACCGGCTCAACACCAGCAACATCCACCACAACAATCTGCTCGCAAAGACCACCAAGAAAGAACAGAAACCTAAGGTACTCACCCAGCAGGTCCAATGCGCCTAACCGCATCAGCGGACACCACAATACTGACCGTTAGCAGTACTTGCTGCCCTTCAGACTCCCAGCTACAGCAAGAAGCTACGGACAAGAGTCAGTCAAAATCACAGATTCACTCCTGCAGTGAGCCTAAGATAATCGAGACCCTCTAACCCAGCTTGGCTAGTCTTAGATAGGGGAAGGTGGGGTTCAAGGGCTGAAGGTGTAGGGCACCCCTAAGGAAGGGAAGCGGGATAGGACTTTGGGTTAGCAGGTAATCTCTCTCTCTCTCCTCTCTGTCTCTCCCTCTCCCTACCGCCCCTCCCCCCCCCCCCCCTTTCCCTGTTAACATAGGTAACAGCCACCCACTGTATCTATTTATCTGCCATATCAAGTCTTGGCTGTAAGGCTTAACTGGGGGGCAAGTTAACTGGGAGCCAGGTCTCAGTCGTTAGTAGTCAAGTTTGATATTCACTTTCCTGTTTTCCTGTAAATATATTCAATTTGCTTGTCTTTCAATAAAATCAGAGTTTTCTTAGCTTCTGAAGCATCTGCCTCCTGTGTTTTGCACCACACCACATTGCATACATAAGCCTAGTGTCAGAAGCAGGGAGCTGGTGAACAACAAACCAGGAAACACTCCCTACAGAGGCTTTGTTGGCTTTGGTGTTGGTGTTGTTGGTGTTTCCAGGATGTTAATGTTTGTGATGCAGTCTTGGCAGTGGATTTTGAGAATGCCATGGAGATCTGGGCACTTTTAACTAATGACGATATTCCTTCAGCCTAGATGAGCAGGATGTTTCCTGGAAAAAAAGAGGAAAGTATCAGAACAAATAGATCATTTTTTCTGAAGTCTCTGCTGCAGCTTGTTTGGAAGATTTTTTAAAACTAGAACTGGGATTATGTGAGTATCAGCTACTCATCAAAGCAAAACAGAAGATACCTTTTCTGGCTGTTTGTCCCTTCTGAAACTGATAAAGGCTGCTGTGTTTTCAATACCTTCACAAACTGTA